ACCACAGTAGTTCCTGAGGAGGCTCAAGCCTGTCAAGAGATGCCAAAGCACTCAGGTTCAAAATGCTACTCTGAAAAGGTGTTTGTTTTGTCGGGAGATGATGTCCAGCCCTGTGACTGCTCCAGCAATCAGTGGTAGCTGAGGCATGGAGAGCATCATCTCCAGAGAGAGATTGTTCCCTCCCACGTGAGTCACAGATAAGATGCTACAATGACAGCAGAAGTCTGGGCAAGTGAAACACATGCCATTCTGGAGTGGCAGCAAAGCTCTAGTGATTCCGATTTGCTCCTCACGGACTTCCGAAGCGAGCTGAGTAATCTTCCCATCGCATCTTACAGTTGTCATCCAAGGAAAAAAACAGTGCACAAAGGCTGGATGGCAGCAGAGAGGTACAGAAAGTAGGCAGGAGAAACCTGAAAACTAAAACAAACTCCTCTGTACCTTGCACAGACGGGAGGAAATGTCTCTGTAAAGTTCCCACCATGACAGAAACCCCTTCTGCTGTGCAAAGAAGCAATTTACTGTTGAGGGGGAGAGGAAATATGGCAAAGGAGCAAGATAAACACAAAGTGCAGATCCAAGACAGGGGAAAAAAAATATGAAGGTAAAGTGAAAAAGTGTTGATGGGAGAAGCTGGGTAAAAGACAAGAAAGAACTATTACCTGCTCAAATTAACATTTTAATGCATTCACATGTAAAATTTAAGCACCTTAAGCACTGGTGTGACTGCTGAGTAACCCCCTTGGCAAGGAGCAGGCTGGTGACTAACATCACAAAATCAACATCAGGGGCAGATTAAGAGACAGTATACGGCCAAATGAGTTTTAGGGTCAGCACTAATGCCCATGATGGAACAAAACACAGACCATATGGCATTTCATGTGCTGAAACTGTCAGACTCACAATTAACTGATTAGGGTACATATGGTGCTCACAGACAGTGTAAACCTCTCAGTGTAAAAGATGCTGGAGACCACTGAAGGTGTCAGCACGAGTCTTCCTTGCAAATCTCTCTTCGTTAAAGTTTCATATGGAGCCAAGAGTGTTGTAATAAAATCACTATTAATGGAGTGATATTTATGATTACTTCTCTTTTGTGCAGCTGGGTTTAACTTTTCAAACACTGAACTCCACAAAGCTTTTTCACAGTAGCTGCTGCATGCATAGAAGCTTCCTGGCTTGTCATATTCACCTTGAAATTAGAAGTAATGAGAGTTAAGGTTGTAAAAATTAACGAAGATTGGCAAGAAAACTGATAATATCACTAGTATCCAGGGGAAAAAAAAAAAAAAGGAAATCAGGTTGCCACAGAAATACAGTTAGAGTATTTAAGTATTTATGACAGGCTGGACAGGGACAAACTCATTCCCTTTCCGGTTCCAAAACACACTTTTTAAAAGATGGTGAGTGACACTTCATTAACCACGTGAAATGGGCTGACACAGCCTGTTTGCTTTTCCAGCCACCGTTTCAGATGCCATTTTTCTTTGCATCTCTCCATGCCTTACATTCAACACTCCATCATAAAGTGCTTCCTTGAAGCTCTCCAGTCACATCGGCCTTGTGGAGCTGTGGGTTGGGCTGGGGGCAGGCAGTAGAAAAACAGATTCGTGTTTGGATGTCCATGCATTAGAGATCCAGCTTTTCTCACTGGTCACCAATTAAAGGGATTTAAAAAGTTCCCCATCAGCCTCTCTCTGCCTTCCAGTCCTCTGCCCCTCAGGCTCTGACAGGACTAGTTCTTCTGCAGCATCACTTCACCTCTCAAGTGATACAGGATCAAAGCATCCTTCTATATCCCAGTTTCTGAAAGGTGCCTGTAATCCAGGTGCTGATTCAGACACAGCAGTGCTCCCACCAGCTAGGCTGGGGCACAGCTCTGTGTGTCTCCTAACTCCATCCTCCCAACAGACATTAACACTCACGCACAGCTCCCTCCAGGGGCTTACACACTCCTCTCTCATTCCCTGTGTTCTTTTAAGCAGCTTCCCACTTCCATTTATACACCCAGCAAAGGACTTAGCAGAGACCTCATCTCCCTAATGAGTTAAAAGCTGTTGCCTCAGCCCAAAATCTTCCCAGTCCCACATGGCTTCGTCCTCTCTCCTACTGTGTTATCTCTATCATTCTGTCTTCAGTGGAGCTTCCAGCCTGCTGCTGCAATGTATGGGAAAATCTCCCTTTTCAGAGCAAGGAAAAATCCCTCTTAAGAACATCCATTTTTCCCCCCTCTATGGTTTGTCAGAGGTGGGCTGCTGGTGACAGATTAGGGCAGCCCGAAGAAACAAGAAAAAAGAAAGTATTAAAGGGCTCTCTTCTAGAGGGCACTGAAAGGGATTTTTGTAAATTAAGTACTCTGTAGCAAAAAAAAAAAAAAAATAAAAGCTGTGAGAAAAGAAATCAGAGAGGCAAGACATGGTTCATGGTGCAAACATTAAGATTTACGAATAAAGCTGAAAGGTGCAAAATGTAACGCAAGAGGATGCATCTGCCTTAACCCTTCCAGGGCTTTTTTAAACTCAAAGAGCTCTTGGATCACAGTGATTTCTGGAGCCTCCCCAGCAGAGGGGCATCGCACAGGGACTGTGCCCCAATGTCCACTGGGGGCAAGACACTCCTCTGGGAGAATAACTCTGGTTCCCCACGGTGGCACATCCCCTGCTAACTGGTGATCTTGATTGTTGTCCACACTTTGGACACCTTAGCCTACCAAAAAGTAACAGTGTCAGACAGGCCTTCTCAGCTCAGATCCATCACTGTCCTTTCTTTGCAGCCACCCCAGACCTCCCCTGGATCCCACTAGAAGAGCTGTGCACGTTCTTGCTTTGCTGCCAGATGATGATGCTCACAGATAAGCTCTTCTCATTCTCCTGTGCTACTCTACAAGCTGACTGTGTGATACCATCCCAATCCCATCCACACCAGTGGCTCCTGGGATGCCCCAACCCTTCTGCCATACTGGCTAAGACATGCTCAAGTTCCCCTTTTTCTTCCCTCCTCACCCTCCAGCAGAGGTTGTTTCTCTCACATCTCAGAAACAACTGAGGCTCCAAGGTGCCTCATTCCAGCAGCCTCCTTTGTTTGTCAGCTGAGTCATTCAGGTGTCAACATTTCTAAGGCTCGTGGGGAGGCTCGGCAGAGCTGGGAGGGTGCAGAGCATTATGTCAGAAGTTATTAATAGCTGCCACCGACCATCTCATCGACTTTGATCTACTGGCAGTTGATTACAGCTGCTGCTCCTGATGATGAGGCACCAGGGGTCCTGCCTGCACCTAATTTCTCCTCCTCAGTTTTCTGATTTTTACTAGAACAAATAATTTTCCCCCAAAATTTCAAAACAGATGGGATTCAGCAGACAACACTGCAGTCAGAAAGGCAAACACAAACAAGTGAAGTGTAAAATTTTACTTTACGAGGAAAATATCAGGTCTTCAAATCCTGCTTCCAGCAAAGTCTTTGAAAGGCTTAAAGGTTGACATCACAAACAACAAACCTCCAGAGAACACAGCTCCTTTCCGAAATTTTCCATGTAGCCCTTAATCCATACCCATGAAAATAAACTTAGAATTTGTTCCCAACAAATAATTAAAAGGGTACAGCAATTGGTTCCCACACTCTTCCACGCTTTCACCTGAAGAAGAAAAGATAATTTGCTGCTGCCTGAAGACAAACACGCACACCCAACATAATCAAAGAAACAACTCAGGAAATCTCCCTGCAACAACCTGGAGCCACTGCTGGGAACAACTAAGGAAGCAGGATAAAATAGCCACCTATTCCTTTATGTCAGCATCACCTAATCCTACTCTCTCTGGTGGGAAGCAATACAGGGATCAAAAGACAACATAGAGCAACTTCTGAGACAGACAAATTCAGGCAAATTTCCATTTTATCTGGTGTTCCGTCTCTATCAGCTCGCCCAAAACTTTGCAGAATTCCTTTTTCTGAGAAAGTGGGACAAAATGAATCTATACCATGATACTGATCTACACCACAGTGCTCTGCTTGCTAAGGATTTAAAGGTCACTGGAGCCAGTACTGCCTGATGTAAGTCCCTATCTCCCAGGACAAGAAAACAGCATTTTTAAAGATGCCAGAAGCAATAGAGAGTTTTGTGCAGAGTGGGACAGTCCATTCTATGACTTGAACATAAACCCAAGGAGCAATTTCTACAAGTTTTACTCCATTTGAATTAGAACATCTAAATCTGCATGATGATGGAACTAGACACGAAGAAAGAAAAGCTTGCATACTTATGACTATTGTAAAGCCTATGTAATAAAACTGCCAAGCCTTAAGATCACAGACATATTCCAAATATTTCAACTCATGACTGTAAAAGCTCAAGCCACTATAACAAAGCACAACAGAGAAGAGAGGAATGACTTGGCCAATGCACGTTAACTTTCATCTCACCAGAGTCACATTTCAGATTACCAATTTCCAAAAAGAGAACTAAAGATAATATAAGCATTCCTTCAAGAAAGAAGTCTGTCTTTGGAAAGAATGTTTTCTTTCTTATAGAAAAACTGGTAAAAAGCATCTAATAGTGACCAGTTTTCTGGGGTTTTCTGGCCCAGTGTCAAGAAGCAAAGAACTTAGAGCGCAGATTTACTTCCTCAACCCTTAACTAAAGCTTTTATAAACACAAGTTGCTCCCACTGTATACAAGAGAGCCTTGACAGACATGTGATGCAGTGAATCACTGGGACTAGAGCACAGAGATGACACCACACTTGTTACTCCTTCACTTCCCCTTAAACACATCCCTTTAGCCCACAGGAACTAGCTGTCACCCCAGCCATGCATGGGTGCATCACACTCAAAGATTATCCTTGGCTTCCTCCAGCACCAGGTGCAATAAGTCACGAGTCTTACTGATCCCAGAATTCTAAAGCCTGAATACCGCAAATCTGGCTTCTGCAAGGGGAGAGCCCATCACAGAACCAGTCCAAACAGAAAGGCCTCAACTCCTTCCCCCCTTGAAGCTCCTTTGTTACCTCCAGCTCGGTGTTGTGAGCGTGCAGTTTCTGCACCATGTCCTCGGCCTCGCGCATGCGCCGGCCCAGCTGGGGCGAGTGCTCCGCGGGGGTCAGCTCGCTGTCGTACGACTCCAGGATCGCCCGCATCCCATCTCGCTCCTGCCAGGAAGAACAGACACCTTTAGAGACACAGCCCCCGACTGTCCACCCCGAGGAGAGGCTTCCCAGAACAACATTCCACGGTTTTGCCCGTTGTTCCCTCACGCAGCAACGAAACGCTGATGGACACCGCGCACTCGTCATCTTCACATCAGCATCGAGCCACAGGTGAGCACACAGCTGTAATAAGATAAATGTTGCTGCTTTGAAAACTGAAAAATTACGCTGCCTTGTGTCTGCAAAACATGCAGATGCTCTAACAAGCAGATGGTGACTGAAAACAGAGCCTGCCTTCTTTTTGGAGACACTGTTCTCACTCAACATGGCTGAATGGGTTTCCTCAGCAAATATTTAGTGTTGTACTTGACATCATTCCTGCCAGAGTTTCAGCAAAGAAAGGACAGAATTGTCACAACAGAAATGAAACAGATTTGACAATGAACAAAGTGGCTGAGAGCAAATATCCTCAAAGTGGTATGTGACTTTATCACTTGTTAAACGCTGCAACATTCCGTGTTTGTAATAAACATTTTTTCAGAGGTTAATATCTGGCAGACAGTGTGTTTGGCTCACTTCACAATCTGCTGGCAATTATAACCAAGCATTTCCAGAAAAAGACAAAAACAAGCATCTCTCTCAGCTCCCTGAGAGCAGTTTACATTCCCAACTATATGGTTTGGGCTCGAAGCTAAAGGTAAAACTTCCTGTAGGGGTTCCTGGTTGAGGTATTTCCTAGTGCACTCCCAACTCCAGACAACACCTAATGCAATCTCCAAGGCACTGATGGAGAAGAATGGGGACAAAAGGCAAATTTCAAGAGGTCAGGTGTGTTTAAGGAGATTACTGGTTCCAGTGCAATTTCCAGTGCAAAACAGGGGGATTAGCCAGCTCATGAAGTGTTTCATCTTTTGACTGCATGGAAGAATCTTGATGCTTGTGAGGCTACAGAACAGGGTCAGGGCAGCTCAGGCCCTTGGCATAAACCCAAGGCAGTGCTGCCTCTCTTTCACTTGGTGACAAACTGCTCAGCTAAGCAAGCCTGGATACAAAGGTTATCTCCTCCTTCCAAACCTAAAGGTCAAAGACTGAACATGGAGAGCAAGACTACGTGTGGGGAAGGGAAGGAACATTCACATTCAAGGTGTGACAAGACCAGGGGCACTGCCAGAGGTATCATGTGTTCAGGACACGTCACAGATTGAAAGGTCAGCCAAGACGGTTGAGTTGGTCAGCAGGTAAAAGGACCCCAAGACCAAAGGACAACCTGAGGCTATGGGAACCAAGTTAATAAAATTACAAAGAAAAACAGGTTTCAACACAAATAGTACTAGCAGCTCTTACTAGCTCCTAACCCAGATCTGACTGAAGAGAATATTTTTCCAAGGAAAGAACAGTTTTGCCATAGTATAGAAAGAATTATTCATCTGACAGATGTGAGAAAGGAAATACTTCCATGTTACTGCAGAAGAAAACCCAAACACAGCCACACCAGCCTGGTAAAGAACTTCTTCAGCAGAAAGGCAGGACAAGATCTCTCTTTCTGCCTCCTCCCCTCTCCAACACACACAGACATCACCCAGTCTGCCTAGTGCACTCTCCATAAGGACAAACTGCTTTTGCTCAGGAGATGCCTTCCATTCCCCATTTATTGCCAAATCATTGTGTAGGGCACAGAAGAGAACATAATGACAGCATTTAGCGAGCGCGTTGGTTTGAGCTTTGCATGTTGTTGCAATTAGATTTGCAATTACAGCATCCTCCCCTCCTTCTCCGCACTGCTCCGCTATCCTAATTTTCTCCTAAGCATCTTTCATCTATGTGATAATTTACCACTGCAGTGTTCTCTCCATTACAGCAGGGCAGGCCCGAAATCCTTAGCGTTTTTTCAAAAGCAAACAGGACCCCTGGCAACTCCCATCACACTTGGTTTCCAATTAACTGCTGAATATTAGGTTGTTTGTGTCATCCCCAGCACGATCTTCGCAGTTCCCCGAGCTCTTCAGCTGCAAGGAGGACAAACTCCTGCTTTCATGTTAGCATGGAAAAACTGCACAGGAGCAGGACACCCCTACGGGCCGTCTCTCCCCAGAAATCAACTACAGCCCTCGCCCTTCAAAGCCTTTCTCTTAAATGAAGAGTAAACCTTTCAAGAAAAAAAATAAACACATATGGTAAACACAGCACAAGCTGTATTGCAAAAAAAGATGCTGAAAAGCTGAACTAGAGGGTGGCACAATTAAACACTTCATCCTGGAGTTCACTTCTCCTCTTCACTTATTTCTAAATATTAATACTAAAATGAAATCAATCCTCAGCTTTCAACAAGTGGCCCCCAGCTCCATTTTTAAAATTTTTCCCCATCAAGAGCACTTAACTGAAAGCTGTTCCCTCCCTCCTGAAGATCTTTGGCAGGAAACAGAAGTTCCTGTTGATAAGTCCTCTGTCTAAGAAGATTCTGTAAAATGTAATCCTAATTTACTAATTGCTGCAATATTTCCTCATTCTACACAACAGGATATTCCCCAAGCCCCATTAAAATCCTCCCCAGGGACTTTCAGATGCCCTTTTTAACCTTATTCCAACACCTCTGCTTTCCTGCTTCCTATCAGGAGAGTATTCACCAGAATTACTGAAAAGCACTTCCTCTGGGAATTCCCAAAATTTAACCAGGATGGGGCACGTATGCTAACTCATCACGGACCTGCACTGGCACAATTCCAGGTGTTTTTTACATTAAGCAGTTTTAAATCAACACCTGAACAGAAATGCAGCTTACTTTAAACATGCCCTAAAAGCAAAATAACAGTTTTGATGTTCATTATAAACCTAGGAAATTAACGCCCTACACAAACTCTGGTGCTGCAGCTTGCAGCTGTGTTTGAGGAGATGTAAGTTTGAAAAAGAGGAAGGATACTGATTTTTTTCAAAGGTTGAACAGTTTCCCTTCCTTCTGCCAGCACCAGCCCATTCACCAAACAAATATGCCTCCTACTACCACACAAGTAACTAAAAAGAAAACAAATTTTATAATTTTAACCAGAAACTAGAGCTAATCCCATGAAAAAAAGAGAACAGGAAAATGCCTCTGCAAAATGACACCCCTAAGATGAAGCTTCTGCCCAGTCCTCCCACCAGCTCCTCTACTCCCTCTATGGAAAGCCAAAGTTCCACCTGACTGGCAGGTAGGTTGAAACTCATAAAGACCCTTTCCACAGCATTCACACATCAGAGTGGTTTAGAAACAGCAGGAATACAAGTGAGCTTCTCCAGGACTTTGGGGTTAATTTTAGGGAAGGACCTGAGAATGGTTCTTATAAGCATCATCCCCACGTCACTGCAGCACTGCACATCTCCAAGGGCAGCCCACAGCTCCAGATAAAGTCACACTGAAGAGCAGGAGAGCCACTCCCAGCTGGGTACTGGAAGCAACTCAAGAGTAAAACACAGCCAAAAAAAATTTTCAAAAAGTCTCTGACCTTACAAACAACCACGTAGGTTCAGGCCTTGCTCCTGCTGCTGCTCGTTAGCCCCTCTTCAAACACACACACACTCCATTCACCACAGACTTTCTAATTAGTTGAAGAAAAGAAAAATCAATAAGAAAGAAATTAAAGTTACAAATCTAACTGAAGTCAGTCACACGCCCAGGGAAAATTTGTTCCTGGGGTAAAGTTTATCTGGTGTCATAATTTTATTGAAATCCTATATCTTCCTATTGACTTTTATCATTTCAAGCTGGATGCCAGAGTTATCATTATTAGAGTCTCAGTGTTGCTCGCAGGCCTGAGGTTTGAGGTGGCTTTTTTTTTCCCCCCTCATATAAACAAGCTGTAATTGTCTGGTTTATTGATCAATAAATCTTTCAACTGCTTCTCTTCACCCGGCTTCTGTTCTGGTAACACTCCTGCACCGTTCTCTGCAAGAAAATACAGGGTTGTTGTTTTTTAAAGAACAGATTGTTTTGTCATTAGCAATGAAAAAGCAGGAATTGTGCCGGTCGGTTCCAATAATGGCTTTTTAATGACAGATTCTAGTCACAGTAAAATCTGCTTTATTTCCACATGAGTGAACTTCAACTATTAATCCACAGCCCAAGCGCACAGCTCGCTTGCTCTCTCGCTTCTGCATGGGTTAGAGCCTGGCAGAGGAGACAGTCTCTGTAAAGTGGAATCATAATGATATTTCCCACTCAGTGCCTTTTTATTTTTTTTTATAGTACAGAAATATTCCTGTTCCAAGCGTTACATCAGTTTTTTGTTTAATTAATGATAATTTTTGGAGAATGTTAATAGACTGCTTCATTATCGGAAATCAGCAGCAAGATCTCCTCCTCCTCCTCTTCCTCTCCAGACTCCTAAATCCAAATTAGTTGTAATAAGGGAAGATTTCAAGACTGAAGAAAGATATGGGGCTTTGACATCAAACGGGTGCTATTTGCAATCAGGTATAATTCAGGTAACTATTTCTCATAAAAACACAAATAAAAAAGAGAGATGACTGTGTGACAGAGGTCTGTACTTCCTTGCTTTGAGGTACACAAACACACATACAGAAGAAGGGAGATGGTATGTGGGGCTTGACCAGATGTTTAACATTAGTAAAATTAGCAGTCTGAGGTGTAGGAACATAAGCCAAAATATAATTAGAAATAACTGAAGAACATTTAAATGCATTACACCGTGTCAGGACCTATTGAGAAAAAGTATTCTTACGTTACTTGAAAAAGATTAATCACAGTAATCTCTGGTCCATGAGCAACTGTTTTTGAAGAACTCACAAAAGGCAGGACAGGACCTGAAAACAGGACAGTGGAACAGACCCAACCTTTTAAAAGAAGGATAGATGAGAAGATATAGACTCTGGCAATTATAAATCACTTCAATATTTTGGTATCTCATAAAATACTTGAAGAAAACATTAACAATCAAATTGCAAGCAGCTAGACAAGAATTAGGGACAAAAAACAATCAACTGAGCCTTAATATGAATAATATCAAACC